CCCTCACCCCATGGGGCATGGCCAGCCTGGGTAGGGGGCTGAGGGCCATTTTCAGGCCCTGGCAGCCAGCCTGGGTGACCCAAGCCTCCTGCGTGCTCAGGCCAGGTCCGTGGCCGCCGTCCACAGGCCCCTCCTTCAGCAGCCAGCCAGGGCGGGTGGGAAGCTTGGCTTGCTCCTTCGCCAGGGGTGACCCAAGTCTCCCACCCGCTCCTGCTGGCTCCATGGCCGCTGCCATCTTTGTCCTGCTAATTTGCATATTCCCTCCTGATAGGCTGTGTGGCACTGCGGGTGTATGGTCAATTTACATATTTGTCTATTATTAGTGTAGACTAGTGGCCTGGTGCATAAAATTCATGCACATTAAAAGGGAATTAATTAGAGGAAATATTTTAATATTGCTATTTTCCCTTTCTCTATAATAGAAGTCTCAGAGATGAAAGAAAATTAGTAAAATATATATGAAAATCTTCCATCTGTCAGAGTCTGGGGCACGACTCGGGACCCAGAGTCAAGTCCCGGCCCACCTGCACGCACCTCGAAATCACGCGAGACCCAGACCCAGCTGGCCCCACCCTCATCAAGCCCCGCTGGGTGGGGGGTGCAGCCTTAGGTTCCCCACCCTGGCCTGGCACCACACAGCCTCAGGTCGCTGATCGCTCATTAGAGCTCGTTACAGGAACTCCCCCTCCGCTGTGGGCGCAGCCATCTTGTGACTGCGTGATGTAGCGAGGGTCAATTTGCATATTTATTTATGTTTCTCTCTCAAATCAATCAATCAATAAAGAGGCAAATTTATTGCCTCTTTATTATATTGGAGGATAAATATACAATCACACACATTTCACTTAAATACAAATCCTTAAGTGTCATCTAATCAATATTCCACTCAGTGTGTGTCACAGAGAACAGGTGAGAGACAGTTTGCTGTTGCCTCAAATGGCCTGTAGCACCTTCATTCCTGGTAACATGAGCATTTCATGGTACTGAGTGGTATTTTAGTGTTCAAATATTCATGTTTTCACCCACACATACAACAGTGACCCCTGAACTTAAGCCACCTCACATGGTGTTCTGATGAAAAAGCACCATTTCAACAATTAGGAAAAAAAAACACCCTGGTTTTTAGAGATTGAATGTTTTACATGTTCTATCTCCCAAATCCACTGAAACACTCTATGTCCACTGTGGTGAATGAAGTAGCTGTTCTAAAATGTGAAATGTGGAATGAGGTTTTTCCCCCCCTAAATAGATTTATTCAAATGACTAAGACTGCTTTGCCAGTACTAAGACTATGAAGTACTATGAAATTCCATAAGGGACTACGGAAACATCAAGCAGAAAATCCCAGTTTCACAAAAGATGTAACAGTATTTATTAACAGGTAATATTAAGGAAAACAAAAATTCCAGGTAAAATGCCAGTTTCTTAGTTTTGATAAATGTACCAAAGTAACATGAGATGATAACATCAGGGGAAACAAACTGGGTGAAGGTACAGGGGGACTCTGTACTATCTATACAACTTGTCCATAAATCTAAACATTTCCCCAAATAAAGGCTTTTTAAAATTCTAGGTAGAGCCCAGTTAGAGTGTCATCCTAAAATGCTAAGATTGAGAGTTCCATCCTCTGTTACGGCACATACAAGAAACACCAATGAGTGCATACACAAGTGTAATAACAAATTTATGTTTCTCTCTCAAATCAATCAATAAAATTCCAGGTAGGAAGTACAGCCTACACAAAAAACCATAATGAAGGTACGGTGTGATCCATTTGAGAACTACAAATAGCCATACTATGGACAGAACACAATTTCCTATGAAGATATAGTAAGGGGACAAATGAAATTAGAGATGAAGGTAAGAATCCGGAATGAAGAACTTGCATAATGCTAAGAAATGTGAATTTTGCCCTGGCCAGTTTTGCTCAGTGCTAAGAGTATTGGCCCTTAGACCTAAGAGTCACGGGTTCATTTTCTGGTCAAGAGCACATACCTCAGTTGTACCTCAGTTGCAGGCTATATCCCCAGCTCTGGTCAGGGCATGTGCACAAGGCAACCTATTCATGTGTCTCTCTCACATAGATGTTTCTGTCTCTCTCTCTGCCCCCCTCCCTCTTACTCTCTCTAAAAGGTGGGTTGGTAGAAAGAGATTAACCAAAGAACTTGTATACATATATGCATAACCCATGGACACAGACAATAGGGTGGTAGAGAGAGGCCTGGGAACAGAGGGAGTAGCGGACTATAAGGGGTAAATAGGAGATAAAAGGGGACCTATGTAATACTTTCAACAATAAAGATTTTTTTAAATAAAAAATAAAATACATCCAATTGAAAAAATAGTAATAAAAGTCAATGGAAAAAATATCCTCAGATGAGGATTTAAAGAGACAAAAACAGAAAATCTGTCCTTGCTTAAACAAAGCAGTTACCAGTACTATGTGGATCAAGGTAGCATTGTTGTGAGGGTCTACCAAGATACTATATGCCAATAACAATCACAGAAGATGAACTGGGGATAAAAGAGGAGGGTAAGAAGTAGCAGTCAAATTCAAAATGTACTGCAGGTCAAACTGACAGGAGTATACAGAAGTTTAGAAATAAGTCAAGAATAATGCAGGGCTTGTGAAACCAGAGTGACTGGATGGATGATCTTACTATTTACTGAATCTCAACTAGAACCATTTTTATAATGGGAAACCTCAAGATTTTGTACATGTTAATTAAGTTCAAAATGCTCTATTAGACTTGCAAGATGAATATTCAATTCTGGAATCCAAGAAGGAAAGTTAGGGCTAGATACATATCTAAGAGTAACCAGAATATAAATAGTATTTATATTCTCACCAAGGGTGAGAGCTTGTAAGAGAGTGCTCTCCAACAGTTAGAAGTCAGGTAGGGCAGAGGCCAGCAAAGCAGACTAAAGGGAGCAGCCACTGAGCTTGGAAGCATGGGTGAGGGGGGATGAAAAATAGGCAGGTGTGGTATCAAGGAGGCCTAGAGAAGAGTAAGTTAATAAAAATCCCACATGCAACATGCACATGGTAAACACAGCATAGACTTTCTTCCTCTCAAAGAGCACTGAATTTCCTGATAAACCACATTTATCAGAGAAATGTTTAGTAGTAGCTACTATATCATAGGTGATATTTCTCTAATAAGGGAACTATCTCGTACAACAGAGTTTCTTATGTGTGGGTGCACATCGGAACTATTGGAAAGATCTTTTTTAATAAAGCAATGCCTGGCAACATACCCTAGAGAATCACATTTAATTGGTCATGGGTGCAACTCAGGCACCAGGATCTGGATACCTCGTGGCACAGTTCATATAATAAAATAAGAACCTCTCAATTCTTATGGCTTTCCAAATAATGAGATTCCTACCATTCTCCAACAGTGACCATTCTTTTTTCGGGGGCAGGAGAGATCATTTTTTATTTTTTAGAATCATGATGATCATTGCAGCTATATTATCCTTATTTATACTCAACTAGAGGCCCAACCCAAGAAATTCATGCAAGGGGCTCGACCCTCGCAGCCCTGGCTTTGTCCAGAAGGTCGTTCAGCCGGTCTAATTAGCATATTACTCTTTTATTATTATAGATAGATACCATCTTTGTATGAGTGGGAGCCTCTTAAAACTTGGCTACCAAGGCTACTCATGCAGATACACAGAGACATACAAAACGGCAAAGAATTAATGAAAGATAGCAAATTAGGGTATTTAAAGCTTTATATTATTACAGAGAAAGTCTTGAAAAGCAGAAGATTCTCACTGCAATGTATGTGTTGTGCGTAAGGTGATGGATGCATTAAGTACATGAAAGGAATCCTTTCACAATCATATATGCATATCAAGTCACAATGTACTTTTAGCTATCTTATTTTTGTCAATTCTACTTCATTAAAACTGAAAAGAAGTAAAATGTTTTAATATGAGCAGTATCACTACCATTATAGAGCAAATAATAAAGGTACTGAAGAAATTATTTCATCACTCATCACAGTGAATGATGTAATATTAGTATCACTCACTGTGTCCTGCAACAAATTACCAGAATGTGCTTGAATGCACCAACTATAAGCCACCTTAGAGCGAGTATGTAATAGTTTGTCTGGTTTGATAAAATTTCTTTTACTCTTCATCAACCTTTTAGGTTAGGTTCTTAGTTCCAAAATACCTAAAAAGATTGACCAATTCAGACTTGAAAGAAAGGCTGTTTTTTAAACATTACTCTACCACAATGAGAAGTTACTCAACTGTCAATATTATGAAAGGAATCCATCGTGTTGAGCTATAGAAGACTAGTTGCTGAGGAAAAGTTACAGTAAATAAATTAACCCAAGACAACTAAATAACTATAAATGCTGTGTTCAAAGTAAACAAAAATATCAGAGTAGGGGGAAAAATGAGCTTACCTGAAACAGTTTCAAACATATACATACAAATTTATCCAGACAAACCACAGCCACATTGACAAGAAAGAAAAAGGAAATCAGAACAATCAATCACTAAACATGCTGTATACAACTGATTTTTTTTTTCAGTTAAGTAAATATTTTTAAGCAATTTTGGGTTGAAACAACTTAACCATGATGAAGCTTAATATTAGCTGACTAACAAGAATCAAAATCACAATTACAAAAAGAAAAGATCAAGAGAATAGTTTAAAGAATCCCGAAACCTGAGTATGGGAGGCAACCAATCGATATGTCTCTTACATTGATGTTTCTCTCCCTCCCCAAACTCTTCCCTCCTTCCCTTCCACTCCCTCTAAACACCAATGGAAAAATATCCTCAGGTGAGGGTTAAAAAAACAACAACAAAACAAAACAAAAACACATGCATTCAAGTCATTCATCTGTCCACTATTACGTGTACTAACATGTTAAAAGAAATGGTTCTTTTAAATTTAAGGGCAAAAGTACGCCCATTAAGAATCTTGTCAATTTACATTGAAATTTAAAAAATAAAACTCACATACATTTACTTACCTTGAAAGGTTTGTCTCCACTGTGTGTCAGCATATGCCTCTGTAACCAACTCTGACTGGTTGACGGAGTGTTATATACTTTACAACCTTTCCATAAGCAAACAAATACCTGTTTAAAAAAAGAGCAATAACAACTTTCAGTACTTATTTCAACAGTTTTATCCCTTCTAAGCTCAAATGAGCATGTTGTAAGCCTTCAATTGACAAAAAGAGCCAATCAAATGCTTAATGTTAAACTGAACTTCCAGTATGATAAGCAATTGTAACCCTTCCTTCCCCCTTAAGGCTGTTGTCCATTCCCTCAATAAGGAACTAATACACCAATGCCAAAGTACCATTCAAAAGGAAATACACAAATTAACAAAACATCCCTAGGACCTAGGTGTATGAACCATTTTGTATTTACTATATGAGGAAACAGGCACGTATTAACTGTAATTATCAAGAAAACATAACCCTGGCCCATGTTTCTCAGTAGTTAGAGCGTCAGCCCACACACCAAAGGGTAGAGGGTTTGATTCCTCGTCAAGGGCAAGTACCTGGGTGCGGTAGGCAACCAATCAATGTCTCTCTCCCTCACATCCATGTTTTTTTCTCTCTGTGTCTCTCCCCACTTTCCTTCGCACCCACTCTAAAAATTAATGGGAAAAAAAATCCTTGGGTAAACATTAACCAAAATAAGAAAACAGGTATAAACAATGAAAAAAAAAACAAGAGTCAAATGTTCCTTTGATAGTTGCATCTTCAAAGAATGAGTAATACAACTATCAAATTACAACTAAATTTCTATTATCACATGCACACTACTTATTCTTACATTGTTCTAGTCATTAAAAATATTTTTAGCCCGCCGAAACCAGTTTGGCTCAGTGGATGGAGCGTCGGCCTGCGGACTGAGGGGTCCCGGGTTCGGTTCCGGTCAGGGGCATGTGCCTTGGTTGCGGGCAGTTCCCCAGTGGGGGATGTGCAGGAGGCAACTGATCGATGTTTCTGACTCTCTATCTCTCTCCCTTCAAAAAATATATTTTTAATTATCTTAAATTGGAAGCAAAATCTAGTGCAAACTGTCAAATTAACATAATTCCAAAAGCAATGGGCATGAGCTACTCTATCATCATAGCAATTTACATTTTTGACTGGGTTTAGAAAATCAGTTTTCTAATTGCTTATACTGCCATCAAACTGGATATTAAAACAGATCGCTAAAATCAGCAAAAAAATTATGAATCCCTCCCAGGCAGTGTGCCTCAGTGTAGTGCCTGAGCGTAGACACTGAACCCGGATGTCATGGTCAATTCCCTGTCAGGGCACAGGCCTAGGGTGCAGGCTCGATCCCCAGCAGGGGGTGTGCAGGTGGCAGCCAATTGATGGTTCTCTCTCATTGATGTTTTTCTCTCTCTCCCTCTCCCTTCCTCTCTCTGAAATCAATTTTTTTAATTTTAAAAAAAGAAATACAAATCTACTGTAATCATCACCTTCAAAGTACCATTTCTTAAGCTCTGCCCTTTTCTGAAGTAAGAGCAATTATAAATAGAGCCACACTTTGAAGACTATAATGTACTACACATAAACAGAAAAAAACACACAGAACTAAGGAAGCAATCATTAAAATAACAAATCAATTTTTACTCAAAACCAAAACCATTTTACATCACATAGGTCTAACTAGGCATCATTGTTTGATGTGACTATTCAGAAAGTTATATCCTGATTCCACAAAAGACTTGTGAGTCTTTTTAAGAAGATATAAGTCATTAACATTTCTTCCTTCATACTTAAAATTTCTGACCTAGTACACATTTATAAAATGATTGCTAAAGTTCCCAAAATTAAAAGCTACCTTTTAAATGCATTCAGAAAAAAAGGGAAAAAATGTGAAGTTACACCTATGATGTTATGGAAACTAATTCAGTAATATTTGATAATCACATAAGATAATCAATGCTATCTATCAATTTCCTGACTGAAGACTTACTAGACTCTTAAAGTCTTAAATTTTTAATTCAGGTTATAAACAGGAATCAAAGCTTAGTTTAAAATTTTCATAAATCATACCCGAAAATCAGAATTGCCTTAAAACAAGTATTTGGGTACAAAATTAATATAATTTATGTAATAACTTTTGTAATAGTGAAGAATTCTGCTGATACAACTCTCAAGTGACCCCTGTGCTGAATTACTCTAAAAAATTTTTTTTCCAAAAAATATTCAAACATTAACCTAATATTAACCAACCACTACATTTGAGAGAAACCACAAATCTCTAACTTCTAATTTTTTTCCCCTATGAATACACATAAGTATGGAGGCAATGTAATTCCATCAGATAATAGCCTTAATTGTGAGTAGGTATGGTCTAGACTAGAGATGATATAATTTCTAGTAACACTATTAGGGCAACACCTTCAAATTCAAAGAAAAACCATAACCTTTAACCTAGTGAATATTTTAGGAAATGAAATTAAGTGTAAAGAGACCAAAGCTAACTATGTTTACCCTTATTTAGATGAAATACTTGTGAAATATTTGAAAAATAATTAGGGGGCAAGAAGAAGGAAGCAATAAACTTGCACAAGGATAGTCTTGATATACACAATGGCACTAAAAATCCACATCAAGGATCCACAAAATTCTTAAAAGCTAAATTTCCTTTCCTAATTTATATTAGAAAATCCCTTGGATAAAAACAGGTAGTCCAAAATCTGACATAAGAATCTTTATTCAAACCTCAGTTCTTTTCTGATGCCAGTTTGTTAAAAATATTTTTATATCCTATTTTTAGAAACGTTCTCATTGCAAAAATTCTAAAAACCAAACACCATCGGAATTAAGCCCAAATATGAAAGAAAGTTCAAAAATAAAACCTCTTAAGATTCCTCTATCCTATCTTAAAATGAATTAAGATTTAGCCATATTAATTAGAACATTGGATGTATGTTATATCGGGTTGTATTATATGTAACAGAAACAGAAAGAACAAAAGTAAATGACTAAATTCTAGCAAGCTTTTACACTTCACAGCTATGTAATTTTGGGAGAAATCACTTATCTAAGTCTCTTACTTCCTTTTTCATCAAAAACACTATGAACACACATTTGATAACTCCAAAACACGGTAAAAATGTAAGATGATGTATATTCTCTAAGAAAGACCAGTTAACAGAAAAAGTTTGTAATAGACATTGGAGATATCTTCTCAAAATAACCGCCACCAGATTTTTCTGCAACTGTGGATGAAAAAGAAATCTACACACGCACGGCCAGTGCTTCTCAATGGTCAGTGTCAACCTATGAACCAGGAAGTCACAGTTCGATTTCTGGTCAGGGCAATTGCCTGGGTTGCAGGCTCAATCCCCAGTGTGAGGGGTGTGTAGGAGGCAGCTGATCGATGATTCTCTTTCATCATTGATGTTTCTATCTATCTCTCATCTCCCTTCCTCTCTGAAATCAATAAAAATATTTTTTAGCCCTAGCTGGTTTGGCTCAGTGGATAGAACGTCAGCATCCGACCTGAAGGGTCCCGGGTTTGATTCCAGCCAAGGGCACATGCCTGGATTGCAGGCTCCATCCCTAGTTGGGGGGGAGGCGGGGGAAGAGTGTGCAGAAGGCAGCCAATCAGTGATGCTCTCATCATTGATGTTTCTATCCCTTCCTCTCTAAAATTAAAAAAAATGTATTTTAAATATGTATATATTTTTAATAAAATAGTAAAAAATAAAATCAGGAAGGGGGAGATGGATGATTTTAGAGTTCCATTAAGTTCTAATATTTCTCAGGGAAAAATTCTTTCTTTTACAAAATGTGAACATACAAAAGAGAAGCATTTTTTTATATATCTATCTTGTCGCAAACAAGTTTGCTCTTTCAAGATCTGTCTAAAATGATAGCTATAATTCTGTAAGATCTGTCTAAAATGATAGCTATAATTCTGTATCATTAATTTTAGCCACAGTAAATGTATTAACATTTTTAATTTTCTGTTAAAGATATGTAATACAACAGAGGACAAAAATGTTTAAAAACCTAAAATATTTTTCATGTATTGCAAAAGATATGACAAATCTCATGTTGTATTCAGGAGATATCAGATTGGCGATCAAAACACAAAGTGAGGCCTGGCTGGGTGGCTCAGCTGGTTGGAGTGTTGTCCCATATACCAAAAGGTTTCGGGTTCAATTCCTGGTCAGGGCACATACATGAATTGCAGGTTCGATCCCCAATTGGGGGGCAGCTGATTGATGTTTCCCTTTCACATGGATGTTTCTCTCTCTCCCTTCCTTTCCCTCTCCCCCCAAAAATCACTAAAAACATATCCTCAGTTGAGGATAAAAACAAAACAAACAAACAAAAAAACGCAAAGTGACCACCAAAAATTGATTTCACTTCCTAGCAGAAATCTGATGTAACCCTGAGAGTCTACAAATGTCATCTTATATAACATAAAGGTAACTGGTCTCATTCAAGTCTTTGAATAATATCCTACTGGCCTCCCACTCCTAATAGCCCTCTGGTCCTCTCCCCGCAAACACACCAAAGAACATATACAAATGCAAACTTAATAAAAGGTGTAAAATAACTCCTGCATCAAGAAACATGAACATATTTCTTTCTAGCAACTGTATTTAAAGAAATAGTTAAAAGAGAAAGAACAGAAGACAAATGGATCTTATTGGACCACTGAAATCCTACAAGATGAAGTTGCATACCTATCAAAACACTGGGGTTTGAAATTTGATTAGTAAAACAGCTCAGTCTAGTTTTGGAAATCCAGGCATACATGAATGTATGGACACAAGAACATAATTCTATTACATTTAACAATAAAGATTAATATTTTGTGCCTGTTTTTATTTTTTAAATAGCAGAAAACCATTTAATGACTTTTTTAAAAAACGGTATATTTGTAATTTGCTCTTTCAATGGTTAGTATAACTTTTTAATATAGAGTTAAGTATCCAACCACTTTGATATATGAAAAGGTCAGGAAAACTTAACTCCATCTGGCTTCAGACTGTAAATATAAAGTCCAAGTGGCACAGCAACATTATTTAAAGGGGGAAAAGAAGGTTTTAAGCTGTTACATGGTTTTGTTTTTTTCCAGAGTGAAGATCAAAGTGGGATGAGGAAAAAAAAAAGATCTAATATAATATTTAAATCTTACTAACCTACTACTCCAGTAAAATTATCTTTCAATAATTAAAAGCACAAAGTCCTCTAGAGTTACCAATTTTTTACTCATTTGCTTCTATTCCATTATGACAGTATAATACATATGGTAGGAAAAAGAAATTAAAAGATTAAAAAAAATAATTATGTCATCAAAATCTGCTATTTTCCACTTACTATATGCAGAAAGTAGAGCAGCAATTACCAGGGGCTAAGGGAAGGGAAGTCAAGGAAGTTATTATTTAATTGGTACAAGCTTCAGTTTTGGATAATGAAAGGTTCTGGAGATGGACAATGATTATGGTTGTTCAACAATGTAAATGTACTAATGCCACTGAAGTGTACACTTAAAATTATTTTTTTTCAAGTTCCAAATTTCAAAGAGGCCATTTAAACACACACATACACACATGTGTTCCAACCAACAGCTACTCTATTTTTTTTTAAATATATTTTTATTGATTTCAGAGAGGAAGGGAGAGGGAGAGATAGAAACATCAATAACGAGAGAAACATTGATCAGCTGCCTTCTGCATGCCCCTTACTGGGATCAAGCCTGCAACCCGGGCATGTGTCTTTGACCAAAATCGAACCAGGGACACTTTAATCCGTAGACTGGCACTCTATCCACTGAGCAAAACCAGCTAGGGCAACAGCTACTCTATCTTTAAGCATAAAACCAGATCAAGATTTCCAGGTTTTCAAATTCTCATTCACACTTTCATTCTAAAAGTATAGTCTGTATATATACCAATGAGTGGTTTGTAGAAAACTTCAGATGTATTTTCTACATTTCTCCAATACATATGTAGTTCAGCAATTAACATCCTTCAAGAATGAGGATTCTTGCCAGACCAGCATCACTCAGTGTTTGAGCGGCGACCTGTGAATCAGAAGGTGACCTTTCGATTCCTGGTCAGGGTACACGATTCCTGATGAAGGGTGTGCAGGAGGCAGCCAATCAATGTTTCTCTCGCATCACTAATGTTTCTATCTCTCTCTTCCTCACTGAAATCAAAAAAAATATATATATATTTTTAATGAAATCTCCTTTCTGTGGTCAAAATAACATTTCTCTTGCCCTGGCCTGTTTTCTGTGGTTAGAACATCCACATGCTGGATTCCCGTCAAGGGCACCTACCTCGGTTGCAGGTTAGCTCCCCATCCCTGACCCTGGTCAGGGCTCATGCAAGAGGCAACCAATCGATGTTTCTCTCACATCAATGTTTCTCTCTGTCTTTCCCTCTCTCTTCCACTCTCCCTAAGAAATCAATGGAAAAATATCCTC